AGGGGGCTCGGCTCCCTGCGTGCCCCCACCGTGCCCGGCACGGCCGTACCTTGGGGAGCCTGTACTTGTCTCGGAAGTGGGACCTGAACGTGGCCCTCTCCGCCTTGCGCTGGGCGAACTGGGCGTCTCTCTCCATCCTGTGAACCGCACGGGGCAGTTACCAGCAGCTGGTGCCCCCCACCCCGGCGTCTGGGCATCCCCATCCCCCCCCCCAGCCAGGGTACCCCACATCACCACCCCAAAGCCCCGGTTCCCCACAGTTTCCTCCCCCCCCCAGCCCCAGCACAGCCTGAAAGGAGAAAACAATCCCATCTCCCGGGCGAGGAAGCGGATTAAGGGATTAGGGGGGCTCATGAAACTCCCTCATGGCCCTGCCGCCCCCAGCGCTGCCTCCCCCCAGCCCTCTCATGCGCGGACGAGGGGGCTGCAGGGGACCCCGGGGGTCCAGCCCGCCGTGGTGCCAGTCGCACTCACTTCTCCTCCACCAGCTGTCGCTGATATTCCTCGTACTCCTCACGGGTCATGCCCTGCGCCTCGGCCGGAGACTTCTCACCCTCGCTCTTCTCCTCACCGCCCAGGCCGCCCGTCAGGTTCTTCAGCTGCCCCCCCACCATGCTCTTCACCATGAACGCCATGGTCACGGTCCTGGGGTGCCAGGGAGCCGGGGTGCTGGGGAGCCGAGCTACCACAGAGCTGGGATGCTGGGAGAACTGGGGTTAATGGGGAGATGGGGTGCTGGAGAGCAGGGAAGATGGGGATGCCGAGTTACGGGGTAGCCTGGGGAACTGAGCTAAGAGTGAGCTGGAGTGCTGGGAGAACTGGGATTAACAGGGAGATGGGATACCGGGGAGCGGGGAAGATGGGGATGCTGAGTTACGGGGGAGCCTGGGAAACCGGGCTGAGAGTGAGCCGGAGTGCTGGGGAGCCGAGGTGTGCCCAATGCTGGGGTACCAGGAGCAGGGAGCTACCGGGAAGCTGGGATGCAGCAGGTGCGAGATCCTGGGGAGCCAGGGCACCGGGTTAGTGAGGGGCTGGGATCAGCGGAGCCAAGTTACCGGGAAGCTGGGATGCTGTGGAGATGAGCTCTCGGGGTGCCAGAGTGCAGGGTTATCGAGGAGCCGGGATGCTGGGATGCTGGGGCGCCGGGGTGCCGGGTTGCAGGGTGTCGGGGTGCCGGGGTGCCGGAGTATCGGGTTATTGAGGAGCTGGGGTGCCGGAGTACCGGGCTGCCGGAGTACTGGGTTATCAACGAGCCAGGGTGCTGGGCTGCCAGGGTGCTGGGGTGCGGGGTGCTGGAGTATCGGGATGATGGGGTGCCGGGTTATCGAGGAGGTGGGGTGCTGGGGTGCTGGGTTATTGAGGAGCCGGGGTGGCGGGGTACGGGGGTGCCGGGAGCTGGGATGTCGGACTACTGGGTTATCGAGGAGCCGAGGTTCCGGGGTACGGGGAGTTGGGGTGCCGGGATGCCGGGGTGCTGGGGTACCAGGTTATCCAGGAGCTGGGGTGCTGGAGTACCGGGGCGCCGGGTTATCTAGGAGCCGGGGTTCCAGGGTGCGGGGAGTCGGGGTGCCGGGATGCTGGGTTGTCGAGGAGTCAGGGTTCTGGGGTGCGGGGAGTCGGGGGGCCGGGATGCCGGGGGGCCGG